TATATGCCCAACAGAATTGGAAACGTATGTCCTCACAAAAACTTGCACATCACTGTTCACAGCAGCTGTATTCAGAAACAGCCAGAGGTGGAAACGACCCAATTTCCATCAACCGATGATAGAATAAACAAAATGTGGCATATCCACGGCTATTAACCAGCCGTGAAAAAGGAGGAAGTACTGATTCCTGCCACCACATGGAGGAACCTTGCAAACGTTATGGTCAGTGAGTCACCCACACACAAAAAGACAAATACTGTCCTTTTAGGTGAAAAGTACACACGTGTTCATTGTACTACTCTTGTGACTCTTCTGAAGACTTGAAATCTTTCAAAATAAAGTGTAAAGTCCTCACAGGAGGGCTTTAAGGATGAGATGCGGACACACACATAATGCTCCTGGTACAAGGCCTCGCAGGCCCGCACGCGGTCACGGCCACTCAGAGGAGTGGCGCCAACGCCCGTGAGCACCGCACTCCCCACAGCGGTCTCCTCACGGCCACCAGACACACGTTAGTGAGGGCCTGCTCTCCAACAAGCGTGCTTGGCCGGGGGACTACGGAGACCCCACGGCCCCAGATCTGGACTCCGTGTGCATTACCAAACTTGGTTATTTAAAATGTATCACTTTAATATTCAGTTCCATTTTTAAGTAACTACTAGAGTAAGCGGCTTAGAATTTCAAAAGGCAGTAAGTGTCTGTGATTCTGTTTATGCATTTATTTACATTCAGCCTCATTCTAAAAAAAAAAATCTAAATCAACTTTTAAACACAATTTAGCAACAATAACAACAAAAAGATAAAAATGAGGGTGAGGAGAAACTGAGGATGGAACAAACGGAACGAGGGGAGGGAAATCAGGAAAATGCGGGCGGCGAAGGAAGTGTACTCCATAAGGGCGACTGCAGCCTCCAACAGCTGAGGCAGGAGGAACAGACCACAAAGCCCCTGTGCCCCCAGCACGAAGACCCGCAGCAGCACCGGCCAGCTCGCCCCCAAGCAGCAAGTCCTGAAACGGCCTTCCCATCCCGGAACCTGTGCTAACTGCACCGCTCCCACGGGGCTGCGTGCGGCGCCCGCTCTTAGCCCTCCCCTCTCCTGTCAGCGCGCTGGGCCCCATGGCCAGGACTGGGCCAAACCCTGTGGCTCCGCGGGCAGCACCTCAGCTGGAGCACAGCTGATGGCACAGGCCCACCCCCGTCTGCTCCCTACAGCTCTGATTTCTCTCCTGGAGATTTCCTTCTAGGCCTGCTCCCCAAAAAACCCCCCTCCTAAGTACCAGAATGCCACGCCATACCTTGTTCAACCAGACATTTCTCCGTCCCCCTCTCCTTTCCCTTCTCAGTAAGGAACTCGACTTCCCTCCCTCCCCATGCAACTGTTTCTTTCTTTGCGAGAACTGTGGACTCCCCTCACGCCGCCCCGACAGCCGGGCGCCCTGCTGCGGGGACTGACACGTCTCCGTCTTACCTAGGCTGCATCTTCTCCCCTCTATCGAAAAAAGCCTTTCCTCAATCTCCCCATCCCTCTGATTTTGAGCTTAATTTGACATAAAGTTCCGAGGTTACAATTATCATGTGCATATCTACCAGTTTTTGCTGGGTTTCCTTAGCAACGACTTCATTAAGGAACTGCAGCAAGAAGTTTAAAGAGGCTACTCTTATATCTGAACAAAGTAGCCTGCAAAAAATTTCAATGGCTCTGAAGAGAAAATTAACCAGAGAGAAAGAGGGCACAGATTCTAGTCAAGAGAATCATGAGCCACAATGTTCTTAAATGGCCCAGAATCATTCCTGAACGTCAGGTGTACAGCAGGCCTCGGTGCTGGGATAAACAGACACTGGCCCTACAGTATGCTCTTGCATCTGCTGAGGTATGGGGCTTTTTCCAAGTTTTTCAAACAGGTTCTTACTACCACTTTCTCTTACTGTCACCTACCATTTCCTGTAAAAATAGTTTGTTTTATAAAAGATTACAATACTTCGAAAATAAATTCAAAATGGATGAAAGACTTAAATGTGAGGCAGGAAACCACCAAAATCCTAGAGGAGAACACAGGCAGCAACCTCTTTGACCTCAGCCGCAGCAAGACCTTCTTGCTAGACCTGTCACCAGAGGCAAGGGAAACAAAAGCAAAAATGAACTATTAGGACTTCGTCAGGATACAAATGTTCTGCACAGCAAAGGAAACAGTTGACAAAACTAAATGGTAACCTTCAGAATGGGAGAAGACATTTGTAAATGTCTTATCAGATAAAGGGCGGGTATCCAACATTTATAAAGAACTTCTCAAACTCAGCACCCAAAAAACAAAAAATCCGCGGGAAGCCTGCTTCCCCCTCTCCCGCTCCCCCTGCTTGTGTTCCCTCTCTTGCTGTGTCTCTCTCTGTCAAATAAATGAATAACATCTTTTAAAAAAAACTTTAAAAAAATAAATAAGAAATAAAAGATGTGCACTTGTGCCCGCACTGTGAGAACAGCGTCCCAGGACAAAACCTTCCACGTGCACCTGCAACAGCCCCAGCTCACGGGCCCCGGGAAGGGTTGGGGCCTCGAGTCCTCCTGCGCCGCCCCCCCACCCCACGCAGTCCCATGGCTTCAGGCCTTCTCGGTGCCCCCCCACCCCCCACCTGACTGTGACATTTGCAGAGCTACCGCAGGGCAGATACCATGTCAGTCCTGGACAAGTGCGTCTCATCTAAACCAACCCTTCCCATGGCCAGGAAAGCTCGCCATCCCACCATTTCACACACCAAGACGTTAAGAGAGGGGCGGAGTGATTTTGCTGAAGGCTCCGCAGCTGATTAGGGGCAAAGACAGGGTGTGAGCCCAAGCCTGTCTGACTGCCCTCCAGGCCTGCAGGACCCCGCAGCGTGAACTCCCAGGAGGACCCCCCCAACGCACACCTGATGAGCCCACGGTCTCCCCGCTCACAAGGTCTGGCCCCAGCCTGCCTACGAAGTGGTTTCCCCTCAGGAGCAAACCGCTCAGGCCACCGAGGGACCGCCACTCCACATTCCGAGTCTCTGTGGTGCTGTTTCCCTTACACTAAATGGCCCAAACGCTGCAGGATTTTTCTCTTTGTGGTTTATTTGTTTGTGCTGGGTTTATTGGCTTTCCTCTGTTTTAGTCTCTCCCTTCAGTGTCTTATTTGCTCCAGCAGCCTCCCTGCCCATCTGAGCCAGGGAATCACTGTGACGAGTGGCCTGAGAGACAGTGAGGTGCTTCCCAGGGGAGGGGAGGAGGCACAGAGTGGGCACATCACCTGCCCAAGGGAGTAAAGCCAGAGCCCTGTGCTTAAGTGTATGCTAAAATATTTACCATTTTATAGATTATGGCTATAACATAGGAGGTATCAAAAAAAGTAGGACACACACCAACCCAAAGACATTCATTAGCTCCAATTTTGTTTCTATTTATTCCTATTTTGAAAACTAAGAATCTCTAGTCAATATGGCAAAGTATTAATGTATTAAATCTGGATGTAGAAGCCTGAGTGTCTTCTTATTCATATTTTTTATGTGTTCACAATATAAAATGACTCTAGTCTCTCTCCCCCCTCTCCCAGCCACTACCCTTCCTCTTGCCTGAGCCCAAGGCCCACATATCCAACAGGCTTTTCACTACAGCCACCACTGAACCTATCACCTTTCACCCAAAGCGTCCTCCGCAGCTTTCCCTCAGAGCACAGCACAAGCATCACCAAGCCAGAGCCTGGGCGGCGGTCCAGCCGACCCTCCCCCACAGTCCTCCATCGCTCCCTCTGTACCACCCACACCTGTGTACCGTCCGCTCCCTCTCTCCCTTCGGCAGTCCCACACTCAGGTGGAAGCATCCGTACTGCCCACCCAACCACCACATCACTCCTCCCTACTCAAGACAAATGGGATCATATCATTCCCGTGCTTATAAGGCCTTTCCTCTAAAACCTACTGTGCTTAGAATAAACTGCAAACCCTTCCACTGGCCAACAAGACCTCCAGCTCTGACTCGGGCCCCCTCTCTCATGCTCCTGCTCCAGGCTGTCTCCGCTGGTCCGGTTCCTTCCAGGGAACGTGCTCTCTCTGATTTCAGACTCACTCCTGCTGAGCCATCCTCCTGGAACGCTCAGGTCCCACCTCCCCCTCTCCTGGCTATCTCCTGTCCAATCTTCCCATCCCAGCTTGAACCTCACTGCCTCAGACAGCCCTGGACCCCACACCCTCCACCACCACCAAACTAGCTTCAATCCCTTTGCACTTGCTCCCCATCCCCCTTTTCTCACGCACCCCACCACCGGAGGTCTATCTTTACCACGAACCTGCCAGCTCGCGGAAGGCAGAACCTACCTTCTCCGCCCCTCCTTCCCTCCCCCAGCACAGCCTGTGCTCAGCAAACAGCTTTGCTGTTACAGTCACCTGTGTTCCGCTCCCAGCCATGGATCCCTAAGCAAGCTGCTGAACTTTTGAGACTTGGTTGCCCCGTCCATAAAAATCCAAGTTACAGTAATTAGCTAAACGTCTCAAAGCTTTCTACACCAGCAGCTTCATGATTTTGCATTAGCAACCTACAACAAAGAGTTCTAATGATTTTGCTTTAGTAAAATCCTATCCAGATGCAGACTGAGTAGCATTTGTTGAGTGCTTACTGTGTAACATGAGCTGTAAAACAGACTTCACGTTCCAGAAACCCAATGACCCACCCAGGGTGACAAATGGCAGTCACGTCCCAAGTGATAAGAGTGAGGCAAGGAGCGTAGAGCTGCTTCAGGGTCGCAGAGCTGGCAAGAGGCAAAGTGGTTTCTCCAATCAAGAAACAATTTTAAGAATAGAAAATGAGGGATTTTGAAAGTAAAGTATCATAATGTGAAGAAGCAGAACAAGGAGTGACATTAATTAGGACATCAAGTTCTGGCCTCAGTGCTGGCACCTGCCGCACTGAATCCTAGTGCAGCAGAGTCGTGACAACAAGCTCCAAAGAGCTGCACGAACTCTTCCGCGAGCAGGAGGACACACACCCACCTGTCGAAGATTAATGTAAACGGCATTCTGGAGAAACTCTGAGGCTTCCATGCTCCGCTTCTGAATGGCGAGGACACGCACAGCCTTGACACACGCTTCTAACTCAATCACTCCGGCGTTCTTGTACTGTACAGTAGAAAGGAGGAGCCTCATCAAAAAGAAGAGTAAAGATTCTCTGTCGCATCATGAAAGCCGTACTATGGGGACTCCGGGACCCCGCAGGGCTGTTCCCCAAGCTCAGGGACCTGACAGCACCCCCCATGATGGGGACAGGGGGATGGAGGTTTGTGTTTGAGAAAGTCCATCTGTTATGGGGTCAGAAGAGGTTGGTGGATTGAGCCTACAAATGCACAAGAGATGGATATTTTACAAAATTTCAAAATATTGTCAAAGGATACTTGCCTCCATTTCCACTTAGCATCTCCTGTACTCTGCCACACAGTTAGGCTCTCCCACACCTGCTGAAGTGGTAAATCCATTTGACTTTGTGGCAAACGTTCTAGCTCCCTGTATCCCTGTGTGCCCTGCACTTAAGTGTCCCACGCCTTTCTGATTTTCTCTCTAAGTTACTTAGTCCTGCTTCTCAGCTCCGAGATGGAGGACAAACGAAGACAGAGGAGACAGAAAAGGCACCCCGGCCTTTACCCCCCACTCGATAGTAATACTGGCTGAGTGCTCTCAAGCCTCACCTCCAGTGCTCACGGCTCTGCCCAAGGTAGCTTCCAGCGGGAGAGCTGCCACGTGTGTGGCTCGGAGCCTGGAGCAGGCTACGGAGCACCCCGCACGCTTTCTCCAGCGCCCATCCCCCGCCCAACGCTACACTGCAAAACTGCATGCTCACTGTTCTTCTGCCTGTTTTCTTTTCCGTTCCTAACCCGCTTTATCTTTTTTCCTAAGTATCCTGAGCTGGAGTGATTTCCAGTTGAAGTATCTGAAAAAACTTGCAGGTGAAGAAAAGGTTTACAGAGATGAGTCCCTGTACATGAGCGCCTGAGGGTAAGGAGGTCCCTCACCAATACTCTTTGTGGGCATCAAACATTGGGAGTCACCACACTCCATCAGCCAGTGTGTGCTGAGAGCCCTGAAGGGCTGGCAGGCCTACCTGCCCGTTTCCCAGTTATGAAGAAGCAAAGGTAGAATCGCTCATGCTTCTTACTAAAGTTATCTCTATAAGGCAGACAAAGAAATCGCTGTGCTGGGAAGGGCAGGCCTCCGTGTTCCCCTCTTTTTAAATATGTGACATGTCCATAATTTGTGATATATACAACAATTATCAGACACACTTATGAAAAGAAATACCTCCCTAACTACCAACTCTGAAGTCAGAGATCTACCAATTTGTATAGACCATTTAACAACAACAATAAACATAAAGACTTTATTCCACTGAAATTAAATAACTTCTTTTCCTTCAAAACCCTTAAAACCTCCACTTAGGTGAGAATAAAAGTCAACTCCATTTTTTCACATGTTTTACATTATATTTACATATTTTTAATTATATTACAAAGAGATTTAAACTGCGATCATAAAAAAATTGTTCATACATTAGTAGAAAGGTATCCACAATCAGCGGGGTTTAGGAAAGAAAGGGCAGTTACTAACGACCTACATACCTAGTCTCCCATAAGCATTTTCCTGGAACACAAGTGGGTCCTTAGGTAATTACCTACCAGCACAGGTCTCCGCACAGAACCATACAACCAATATTTCAGGAATAAATGAGGGAATTAGCTCATTCAATTCTAAAACAAAAACCCTAAAACAAATAGTACCCTTAATTTACGTCCCAAAATGAGACTGAAAAAAAGTGAAGTTTCTCGCCCAAGGTTACAAAGCTAGTGACTGGTGGCAGGATTTGAACTCAGATCTGTCTGACTCCAAAACTAAGGTGGAAATATTCCATTAGGGACGAAGTGACCTTCACTAGAGAGGCTACATGAACATAGCTAAAGGCAGGTGAACATTGAGACCTCTGCCCAGACACTGTAACTTAAGCAAGGAGGGTCCTCTGCCTCTCAATCCAACTGTCTTTTCATCTGTGTATACAAGAAGTGTATACAAGAAGACGGAAGACCTAGCTTCCGGTGCAAATACTGCCACTGTGTGACTTTGATAGAGTCACTTATCCTCTCTGGGCTTTAGTATCTCAGCTATGGAAAGGTATGGGGCCATATGTTCTCTACGGTTCCTTCTAACACCATTATCTCGGCAGAAGGTCTGTGTCTCCAGTCATCTCTTCTAATGATGATAATCTCTTCCTTGGCCACAAATCAGAAATCTAATAAAAAATCATTCATGAAGCCACCAAGAGTCTGCTTAAGAGATTTTGCAATGACTCACAATGAATGAAAACCAAAGGCGGTGCTTCTCGCTCGGTAAGTGGGAGGTAGCCTGATGAGTGTGTGTGTGTGTGTGTGTGTGTGTGTGTGTGTGTGTATGAATCAAATATTCTCGCTCGGTAAGTGGGAGGTAGCCTGATGAGTGTATGAGTGTGTGTGTGTGTGTGTGTGTGTGTGTGTATGAATCAAATATTCTCGCTCGGTAAGTGGGAGGTAGCCTGTGTGTGTGTGTGTATGAATCAAATACACTCAGATCCGGGAAGTGCACAAATATTCTTGGACTACTGTCACTTCATGGTGGTGGAGGACGTAAAAGATTAAAGAAAAGGAGCAAAGAGGTAAATGAAGCAAACGAATAAAAATACAGCCAGAGAGACAGGCAAGACATCCATTTGCTGTACTTGCATCACGAACACAATATGAGGAACTGGTTTCTCCCAGACGTTTTGTTGAATACATACTCAACCAGGGAAGGAGAGACAATGACCAATTCTTTATTGAGCAATACGAATGAGCCTGCCACTGGAGTAGGCATTAATATATACAAATCGTTTACCCTGATTAAAAGCTCGATGCAGCAGGCCTTCATGTCACCATTCGAGAGAAAAGAAACCGGGGCTGAAAGAGAGCACACAGCTGGACTGAAGTCAGACAGCCTGAGACAAAGGAGGAGAGACTCAAACCCAGCTCTGTCTGCTCTTTCCACTCTCGGACTGGAAAACTCATCACCCACGGCCACCTGACTCCCCTGCTGCGCCCGTGGCAGACAAGTCTCGAATCCTGACTGACAGACACGGAGCTACAGGCAGCCAGTAACTCTCAGTGAGACCTGGCTGGTGAGGTGGCATCCACCTGCCATGCCCATGGGGCTGTGCCACAGAGGCAGGAGAGCCTGGTTCCTGTGCACGTCCAGAGCTTCCTTCCCTGCCCTAACCCGGGTTCCTTCTGCTTCTCCAGTCCAAAGGAAGTCACTAAACTGCTAGAATTAGTTCTGCAAGCCACATGACTTCTCTCCATCTGTCTGCCCACTGACAGAACTTAGCTATGATCACTCTGAGAATCTTGGAAACTGAAAACACAGAAAAGAAAGGACTCTGGAAAAAGTACTTAATACTTATCATTTTTAACTAACCAGTTACAAAATGTATATTAAAACTTCAATCTGCCTTTCTACATATCAGCTATTAGCAGTTCAAAAATATAATGGCAAAAAATCTCATCTACAAAATTAGCAAAAACACATACAATAACTAGAAATAAACTTAAAAACAACGCTCACTTTCTTGATGAAGACAACTGCAACTGTACTGCGGGACTTAAAATAAGATGTGTAAATGCAGAGATGTTAACATATTCTATACAGAAAAGTAATTTTGTAAAGATATAAGTTCTCCTAAAAATAATTCAAAACTTATTGAAAGCCCCATGAAAATTTCAATCTTGTTTGGTTGTTTGTTTTTTGTAACTTGAACAAAATATTTCAAAATTCTTTAGGAATAATAAAGTCAAATTACTAGCCAAGAAAATCCGGGATCAGAGGAAGGAATTTTAAAGAAAAGAAGACACACTATCATATATTAAATAAACTACAGGAAATAAAATATCATGATGCTAGACTAAGAAAAGAAATTCATAGAAAGGAATAAAAAGGTCAGAATTAGACAACAATATATGGATAAGTAGGATTTCAAATCAGAGAGATAAGGTATGAATTCAATAAGTCATGGTAGAACAATCAGATAGTAATCTGGAAAAAATAAATGATATTGCTGTGTCATAATGTACACAAAATAAGCTATAGGTAAGGAGCTAAATGTTTTAAAAATGCTAACAATAGGGGCGCCTGGGTGGCTCAGTCGATGAAGCATCAGACACTTCCTTTCGGCTCAAGTCACAATCTCAGGGTTGAGCAAACAGGCTCAACATCAGGCTCCACACTCAGCACAGAGTCTGCTTGGGATTCTCTCCCTCCCCCTCTGCCCCTGCCCCTGTCCCTGCTCACAGGCATTTGGGCGCATGCTCTCTCTCTCTCATATTAATGAATTATTTTAAAAAATAAAAATAAAATGCAGGGACGCCTGGGTGGCTGTCAGTTAAGTGTCTGCCTTCGGCTCAGGTCATGGTCCCAGGGTCCTAGGATTGAGCACCACATTGGGCTCCTTGCTCAGTGGGGAGTCGGCTTCTCCCTCTCTGCTCTCCCTCCCTCTCTCTCTCTCAAATAAATAAAATCTTTTTTTAAATAAATAAATAAAATGCTGACAACAGCTCATACAATACTTTCCATGTACTTCACTCTGCCTATCCTCACTGTATCCCTTTGAGAAAGGTACTATCATCGTCCCTATTTCAGAGATTTAAAAAAACTGAGGAAAGGAGTTTTATTCTATTGTCAAGGCATTTCTAAGCACAATACTGAAGGTAAAACCCATAAGGAAAAGATTTACTATATTAAAAACATGTTTTGACCACAAACAAAAAGAAAACCTCATGAACAAAATTAAAGGCAAGCAACATTAGGAAACAGATTTGTAATAGACATTGATGAAAGGTAAGAACCTGATATCCATAATATACAAAAAACTATAAAAAAGCAACAAGAAAAACACCCCACCTTAAATGTATGCAAAGGACACAAATGGGTAATTCATGTAAGAAATGTAAATGGTAACAAGTGAAAAATGGTCAGTATCTCACCGGTAATCAAATGCAAACAGAAACAATGAAAGGTTACTTTGCCCATTATAGTGGCCAATATCCTAATAGCTAGTGTTTGTGAGAGAGCAGACTGTTAACCTTCTTGAAGGACAATATGGCAATGTATAAGTAAGCTCTAAAAATACCATGTTTGCTCTGACACAAGTCAACTTCTAGGGACTGTCCCCTTAAAAAAAAAAAATCAGGGATGCCTGGATGGCTCAGTCGTTAGGCAACTGCCTTCAGCTCAGGTCATGATCCCAGGGTCCTGGGATCGAGCCCCACATCGGGCTCTTTGCTCGGCAGGGAGCCTGCTTCTCCCTCTGTCTCTGCCGCTCCCTCTGCCTGTGCTCTCTCCCTGTCAAATAAATAAAATCTTTAAAAAAAAAAATCAGTCCAAAAAGATTTCTCTGTTGGGGCATTTATAAGATCTCTGTTAACCATTGTGGGAAGGAAAACTGAAATGACATAATATTCAGTAATGGAGAACTGGTTAAATAAATAATTGTACCCCTTTTCATTCCCTGTTGGGGAAGGAATTGAGGAGTAACTTGAAAGCAATTTATGATAAATGTAAACATCACGTTCAGTGATTAAATTCCCAGAGATCTTAACTAAAGGAATAATCAGACAAGAACACGAGAATAGGGGCACCCGGGTGGCTCAGTCCATTGAGGATCCAACTCTGGGTTTCAGCTCAGGTCATGATCTCAGGGTCGTGAGATCCAGCCCCGTGTTGGGCTCCGCACTCAGCGCAGAGTTGGCTTGAGGATTCTCTCTCTTCCTCTCCCTCTGCTCTTCCCCACCCCATGCTCACTCTCTCTCAAATAAAGAAAATCTTTTAAAAAAAGAACACAATGGGGTGCCTGGGTGGCTCAGTTGTTAAGCATCTGCCTTCGGCTCAGGTCGTGGTCCCAGGTCCTGGGATCGAGCCCCGCATCGGGCTTCCTGCTCTGCAGGAAGCCTGCTTCTCCCTCTCCTGCTCCCCCTGCTTGTGTTCCCTCTCTCACTGTCTCTCTCTCTGTCAAATAAATAAATAAAATCTTTAAAAAAAAAAAAAAGAACACAAGAATGTATGTACAAAGATGTTCACTGAAGCACTGTTTTTCTAGCAGTGGGAAGTGAGAAAGCCTGAGTATCCATCCAAGGACGATGATGAAGCAAACCTCGGCAAGCTGTGGGCTCTGTAGAAGCAGGCACGTCATGTTGCTCTAGGTGCTGCCACTCCCCGCGCTGGGCTCACAACAGTCTCTCACAGGAGGCGTGCATGAATAAATAATAAATGACCACCTCCACGTGTTAGAGGGCTGTCCACCTATCTGCAAGAGGGCAGCCGCCTGCAGTGGGAGGACACCCATGAGGTACCTCTGAGGCAATGAAGCAAGCGGCCGAATGACACGCGTGGGACAGCCTCATTGTCCTAAATAAGAGATACACATCCACAAGTATGCTTCACAGGCCCGACAGTCATGAGAGATACGTACCAGACTGTGCATACTCGTCAAAGAAGTAAGGGCGGGGGAGGCGGGCGGCCCCCACCTGCCCCTGCTGCCTCACTCCCTCACAGCTGGAGTTCTCGTCCTCAGTATTTCAGAAAGGATATTTGAAATTTAAATTTTTTTTTTTAAATCCAGAGTAACAAGAATGGTGCATCCAGAAGATGGGATGCTAGGCACAGCATTAAAACACACGTCATGGAAGATTTAACTACACAGAGGAACACATGATGCGCCAAATCAGAACTGCAGGGCTCCACACAGTGAGCACCGAACACTTACCATGTTTTATGATATCGGAAATATGCGTTGACAAAACAACCAGAAAATAGATACTAAAGGGTTAAAATGACTATCTCTGAGTAGTGGGGCTATGATAGTCTTTTTTCCCCCTTCTCCAAATATCAAATTAAATATACATTATTTTGAATCAGAAATAAAAAATACTTTTAGGTATATAGTATTATGCATTAGAGAATAATACACGAATACTTAACAGAACCAAATAATTAGGAGATACTGTAGTATTTCACAGTGTAAACCAGGAACCCCTGGTTAAAACAACACAGTTAGGTAAGGGCTTTACAAAGCAGTAAAATCACCTTGCTGTAATAGGAAATGGCCTCCTTATACTTGTCAATTATGTCCTCAGGACTAAGACAGTTCTTAGCACGTCCGATTTCAGCACTGGTGTCAGGATTTATGCCATTGGTCGTGAGGGCACCTGCAAACCAAAAGGAAGAAAAGAGATAATCTTTTGCTTTTTCTGTCTTCTTTGTTCATTTGAAAGAAGGGCACAAATAGGATAAAACTTAAATACTCCCCCCTGCAGTTTAAATAATGAAGCCATTTTTAAATTCTTCTAGCTTATATGTCCCCTGTAAGTCTTACCATCAAAGCACTCTATTAAATGATAATTAACTCAGAGTAAGTTTTCCTCCTTACTGAAGCCTTTCATTAAAGAACATAGGATGCATTTATATAAAAGTAACGTGTCCGTAATAACTAGCTTTGCCATCTTGAAGGCGACACAGCCGGCGCGCGTTACCTTGCGGCTCTAAGCTGAGTGCTAGCAGGAGGCCGCACATGTCCTCAAATGAAGATAAACTACATGAAAGTGTTTTTCAAATCGTCCAGCACTAAAGAAATATAACTGACAAACACCAGTATCCTGTCTGTGGCTCCCATTTTCTATTCCTGGCCAACCTCTGTCACTAAACAGAATGGCCGAATTCCCCGGCCATCAGACGCACGTGGGGAAGAGTTCTGGAGAAATCTCCATTTACAGAATATAACCAACTACACATGGAACTCTGACAGGAAAAAAAAAAAAAAGATGAAATAGTTTATTTCATAGAACACAAAAAATACCCCTTTAAGCCTCAGTAACAGAAAAAGCTGGGCCCCTGCTAAGCCACTTGTCTATCTCTCAGACCAACCCCGTCTTCCTGCTAGGGGCTGAGGCATGAGGCTGCTGCCGATCCTTATAACCCCCGGGGCCCAGGCATGCATCTCACTGCCCGTAACACGCATGTCAGCTCGTGAACTGCCCTCGCTCCTGACCTTGGCCCAGTTTTCTCTCCTGCTCATTTGGTATTCTGTTATTCTGTAAGCTACCTTAAATGCTTTGGGGAACAAGACAAAAGCCTGAGTGGATGGACAGACAGATGGACAGGTGGCAGATGGGCAAACAGACAGAGAGACTCCAAGAAAAGGGAAACAGAGGCAGGCTCCTATACAAAACCCTCCTCTAGCTAGGGAAGAAAGAATGACAATGGGGAACCATGAAGAGGCAGGTGGCTTGGGATCTTGTTTCCTCCAGATTCTGTGAAAACCACAGCAAGGGAGGAGAGGATAGAACTATAAATAATAAGAGAAAAGGGCATGCTTGAAAAACCTAAAATGTATACCTTTTTCAAGAACAGATTCAAATCATCAAGGCCCGATGACACAATCCTTACAGAACTGAGAATTCCATCTCCAAGCCACAAGGCATCCCTTCAGAGCAGTGAGGGTTTACGTGGAGTGCTTACAACACCAGCAGAGCCCAAGATACATGATTTTGCATGCAGAAGGACTCAGCATGCGTGCTAAGGACTTCCTCCCATGCTCTCCCTCACGGCCCCAGCCACACTACGAGGGAGGCTCCCAGTGTACCTCATTCCTGCACGTGAGGAAAGAAGTCCTGGGGAGGCTAAATATTCTTTGCTAGTTTTCAGAATTGCAGAGCTAGTGACTCCAAAGTAGGATTCAAACTTGGGCCTACGTTTTTCACCATCGTACATAATACTATGCTTTGTGTGTTTTTCATGCATTAATACATTTGTTTCTGGCTAAAAGAATATTTAGTAAGTGTATAGGCAGTTTTGATTTATCTAATAGGCTCCAACAATTTATCTTTATATCACTGACTTTTACTCTTTTCCCTTGAAGAAAGGAAGGGCCAGAGTGAGGTGGGTCCTTCATTCTTCATGATCCCTCCTCTCCTCCAAACAGTATGCGATCAAGGAGCAAATGCCCCCTCCACTTTTAAAGAAATGGCACCAGTGATAACGAGGGTTCATTTAAGGATTAACTTAAACACCAGTATTGATGCTGGGGGAACTCCACGGGCAACAACCCAGAACAACACAATGTGTCGGAAACTAACAGCAGAGCTCACGAGAGAGCTTACCACTAAGAGTCACAGTGATTTCATCTCATTCAATAAAAGAATAACAAGCTCTGGGGCGCCTGGGTGGCTCAGTCGTTAAGCGTTAAGCATCTGCCTTCAGCTCAGGTCATGATCCCAGGGTCCCGGGATCAAGCCAAGCATTGGGCTCCCTGCTTGGCGGGAAGCCTGCTTCTCCCTCTCCCACTCCCCCTGCTTGTGTTCCTTCTCTCGCTGTGTCTCTCTCTGTCAAATAAATAAAATCTTAAAAAAACAAAAATAACAAGCTCTAAAAAACTAGTATGCAATAGATTCCATCTTTCTTGACATGTACAAAGTGTTGACAGCCCCCGTGCAATGTTAGTGTGAACCAGTGAAACAAGGAGTCATCAGGACCACGGCCTGAGTCTACAAAGAGGAAAAATCAATGAAACAGGCAGGCTGATGGCCAGGCAGGAGGAAAGGAAAAGAGAGAACATAGTTAAGAAGAAGTGGGGGGGAAAGTTCGGAAAACAACATCATCACAACGGTTCTCAGGCATCCATCCAACAATCATTCATTCATTCAAGAGCCAGGGAGAGAGTTACGGAGTCCTCTTATGTGCAAGATGGCATCCAAGGCACAAAACCGGAAAGGCAACACACGCAGAGATAAAACAAAGCAGAAGTAACAGGGCATAAAGCAGAGACAGATGAGGCAGGAGAGAGACAAACCGTGAGAGAGAAGAGCAGCAACAGGGTTCAGAGAAGGCAGGTACCCATGGTGTGGCGGTGAGCCCAGCAGCAGCAGGCAGGCCAGCCTCCCACTGGCTCACTCACATTCACTGTCCTACTGAAAAACCAGCCCCTGAGACATGGGTGCTCCTCACGCCGTCTGCAGACGGCCAGCAAAGAGACAGCGCTGCCAACAGGTCAGGACGTGAGCCTGGGCGCCTCGAACACCAGGGCAGAGCGGGAGTTTTTGTTTGTTTGTTTGTTTGTTTTAATGTTTTATTTATTTATTCATGAGAGTAAGAGAGAGAGAGAGAGAGAGAGAGGCAGAGGCAGAGGGAGAAGCAGGCTCCCCGCCTAGCAGGAAGCCCGATGCGGGACTCGATCCCAGGACCCTGGGATCATGACCTGAGCCGAAGGCAGACGCTTAACCATCTGAGCCACCCAGGTGCCCCGGGAGTTTCTGATGAACGGTACTGAGACACCGGGATGGCCATTTGGAAAAAGCTCAGAACAGACCCATACAGACCCATACCTCACACCAAACACAAGAATCAACTCCAAATGCTCAGAAAAGAAGTTCAAGTAACATGGGTGAATTCCTCTAAAACCTAGATACAGGGAAAGGCTCTCTAACTATGATGCAAATTCAAATGCAATTTTAAAAACTGATAAATTCAATTATGTAAAAATACAGCAAAAATACCACACACAAAGCTAAAACATAAATGACGATCTGAGAGAAAATAATTGCAATATATATCACAAAGGGCTAAGAGCTCTAATATATAATGAGGTCATAAAAATTGAGAAAAAGCTAAAATCCAATAGAACAAAATGAGCAAAAGATATGAGCAGATAACTCGCAAAAGGAAACTATAAAGATGGCCCTCGCCAGTTAAAAAGCTGTTGGATGTCACCTGCAGTACGTCTACTTGGTCAAATATAAGAACACAGCGCCAGGCTGCTAACAAACCCGGAGGGGGGGGGGGCGCCTGCTAACAAACCCGGGGGGGGGGGGGGGCGCCTGCTAACAAACCCGGAGGGGGGGGGGGCGCCTGCTAACAAACCCGGAGGGGGGGGGCGCCTGCTAACAAACCCGGAGGGGGGGAGCGCCTGCTAACAAACCCGGAGAAGAGACGCGCCCTCGGGCATGGCTCCCATGAGCGCCGAATGCTAGGACCTCTATGGGGGAAAGGGGGTAAAATCTAATAAAAGTGTGTCTACATATTTTTTTAACCTTTTGACCCAGGAACTCCATTTCTAGGAATTTATGCTGAAGACCCAACACCAATAACACAGAAATACACATGCATGAGGTTACTCACTGGAGCAGCATTTGTAATTACAAACAACTGGAAATCAAAATGCCCACGAGAAGACTGGTGAACAGGATGTGGCACATACATGCACGGCGTGCTACACACCCGTGAGAATGGGTGGGGAAGGTCCCCATGACCTGACAGGGACCGGTTTCCAGAATATGCTGGCAAACATGGCAGAACAAAAAAAGCCAAATATAAAAGAACGTGTGTACTACGCCATCTTTTGCACAAGAAATAGAAATAAGATCATCTGTCTGGTTTTCTTCAACAACAACAAACAAGCAAACGAACAACCCCACCAGAGTGAAAAACCAGGAACAGATGAGACCAGTCTCCTGCAAAGGTAGATTGGAATGAGGTGAGAGGGGTAAGAGAGGCAGTGACCCTTCTCTGCGTAATACCTTTTGTATAGTTTTGACTCTGGGAACCATTTTCATATTGGAAGGAAGGAAGGAAGGGAGAGAGAGGGAGGGGAGAGGGATGGAGGGAGGAAGGAAGGAAGATAGGGGAACCCTATAAAGGCATACAAACAGAAACAAATGAGCCTAATTACATTTCAAATAAATAGCATAATTACCTTGACAGAAAGGATTAAAGGACAAACCCAATCAACTTCTGATCATGGTACCTTGTATATTTATCCGGTATAAAGACAGAAAGGGCACACACAACTCTTAAATTCTACTTAAAGGTTTGTTTTTTATAGTGACATTGCTTGGTAATTCTGAAACTCCTTTCTATACACTGTAGGACTAAGAAAATGAGTAAATATATTGGTAATACTGGGAGCCAGATTTCTCACTGTTAGAGAAGGAAAATATAAATATAACACAGGGAAAGAGTGGAAAGACCCCTCAGGTTTTGGACTGGAATTAGAGATAGTAAAGTATGAACTCTAGATAACACTATGAACTTCTCAAAAGGCCTACAAGCAATGGTATATTCAGTGCCTGATTTTGGTTTCTAAATACCATGTGCCAACAAAAGGAACTAGATAGAACACTGGAGAGGGATGTCTGATTTCAAAGCTGGGACAGGG